TCCTACAGCAATTCCATTTCTGTCATGATTCACTAGCTTGGTCATGAGAGTATTATAGGAAATAATGTTGAAATTCTTTAAAAAAAAAATAGAAGAAGAAAAAGAAACCTATATAATATCTGCAGCTTTCCCTATGTAACAAGATCATTTACCCTTCCATAGACAGGCAAATTAGTGTGACTGAGTTTATTCTTGGCAAATCCATTATTAGCTGCTACTCATTTCCTTCTTATTTCTAAAAGAAACAGATGTACACTAAAACTTTCCTGGGGATTGAAATTAGGTTTGCTAAATTATGAATTTCCTTTACAAAAAGGCAGGTATTAAATTCATTCTGCCCAGTTTGTAATCCAGCCTCCAGAAGATCATGTACTGACATCATTTCAACTGCCCTTTAAGTCTCCTAAGGTGATCAGGCCCAGGCAATTTGAAAATATCTAAATTAGCTGATTACTTTCTAAGTAGGTTTACCATATTTTAGGCAGAAATTCTAAGCTTTTATCCCTGGTACTAATTGCACTTGTCTGCTTGCTGTTGACTTTATTAGTAAAGATGGATTAAAAAGGAAAAAAAAATAAGGCATTAAACTCTTCAGCTATTTAATATCCTCTGCTGATAGTGTCCCCTGTCTTTGAGTTGTGGCCCAAACTTTTCTGTTTTCTTCTTACAATATTCTTTTTTCCTTTTGATAAGTGTTGCTCATTGCAGCTTCTGTGCTTTGCCCTTATGGCTGGTAGACAGACAGACACACACACGAACGGGGCATTGTACCAGATTCTCAGTCATCTGACCTACTTTCTGTTTAGCAGATATAATCCTCTCTTCTGCTTGAGGACAATTTAAAAAGTTGTGAATTAGCTGACTTCTCTTGAATTTCCTTGCAATCCTCCGAACTGGTATAGTTCTGCACTTCCTCTGTTAACAGCATGTCTTGCAGAAACTGACAGCTCTCCTTAATTTGCTTTTCCCTTAGACTTGCTTCCTATGAGATATTCCTTCCCCAGTCTGAGTTTATTGACATCTGCCTTCTCTGAATCTAGTGCTGTCAGTCACTAGGTTGGATCAAGTGGCAGAAGTTGACACTATATTCTGTGCAGCACCAATTTCTTATAAAATGTACTATCTGGCAGTATATTTTGTAGTCATATGCTACGCTGCCCTCTATTTAAGTGCAAAACTGCCACTCAGCTGAAGAAGACGGTGACAATTTGAATATGTATTGGCTGGAAGGGTTCGGATGCGATTCAGAAGTTGGAATGAAGAACAGGAAGGAAAATGTAAGTGCTGAAAAACCTTCTGTAAGGTGTTAGCAGCTGCCCTTGTAACAGCTCCTGCTCCATGTGAACAGAGCAGCTGTGCTGCTGAAATGCTTAGGACTCGGATGCTTTGTGGTAATAAATGATGTAGACCAAGGGACATAATGACCCCTGATGTAATTCATTTGCTAAAAGCTAACAACGCGATTGATAAGCAGCTGTTTCAAGGGGCGACGGGCAGACCACAAGACTGCAAATGGGCGGGGGGAAGGAAGGGAAAAAAAAGCACTAAGCTTCACTTGAAGCAAAAATTCTGGTCAGACCACGCTGGGACTATGCCTTATAAGAACAGTGACAGAAGCTCTTATCAATGCCTATGCAAAACCAGTAAGAGCTCAAGTTCTACAGAAAAGTGTCTAATATTCCTTAGTGACTGTTGTGAGCACTCAGAGGATCCTCTCACCATCAAACTCCTGATATCAATCAGGGAGGCCAAATCTGGTACTTATACTGCAAAGGCTTCCTGTTACCTAGTAATATTTACTGGTAATATTAAAATGCAAGTTCGTTTACTCGCATTTCAAGTAAACTTGGAGACTCTAAGCGATGAAAGTTAATTATCAGTAATCATATCTCAGCTATGATCAATTTTTGTGGGAGCTGTAAACTAATCAAAACACAGACATCCTAATGGGAACGTGATGTTGGAAGACACAGGAGCAGGCGTTGGCCGATAATCTGTGCAGGGCTGATGCTACAGTGAAATCCCCACTCCCAGGTGCTCCAAGCTGCACGCTGCGGGGAAGGAATGGGCAGTGTCGACACGCTATCTAGTGGCTGCACCAGTTATGACTTTAGTCCTGAATTCCTCTTACTGCTCTTGTGAATTGCTTGTGTGAGAACAGTACTTCAGCTGAAATCAGGACTTGTAAACCTTTAGTAATTCTGCACAGAATCCAAGATATTTTGAGGTCCTAGGTAATTAAGAAAAATAACAAAAAAGGTTCTAAAATCTTTGTGAATTTGCAGCCCCTCTGGATGGTTGTTCTTGTGATTAATAATATTCCAATGGTCACTGGATAAACAGTACAGATTTTTCTCTTCCATAGGCCAAGTATGTCTCAGAGGACCAATAAACAAAGGTCCTGTTTGTCAATAGCTCAAGAAGCAGAGTCTTTTCAAATATTTTCTTTGCTTGCTATGTTGTTTGATACATGAGGTAGAAGATTACAACCTCAAACCTTTGACAAAACCACATGTAGTTCACAGTAGTGCAAGGCCAGATGTGTTCTGCACTAATTGAGGCAGGGAAATCCAACACTCTTCCCCCCAGGATCATAGACTAGGAAGAGGTGTAAAACATGCAACAGGCTTTTGCTTTCTGTTCCTGCCAAAGGTGTGCTTAACCTTCAGAAAATCATGCACTCTTTTGCTTAATTTTTCTTATCTGTTAAACAGAGAGACTACTACTTTATAGAAGCAAAAATAGTCTTGTTAGTCTGTTGAAAAGACCCACTTTTATATATATTAAACATAAATATATAATTTTACATATGCGTGTATTTGATTCCATATGACCTGTACCAGTTTGTTTACAGTCCTATGAGCTACAGCTAGCACATAAACTTATTTTTTAAAAATTAAGTCTGGCCGTGCTAGCAGTTTTATATGCGTATTTGTTTTGGAAGGCTAAGTAAAGACACGATGCTGCGGGTTTCAGCTTGGACAGCATTTCTTGAATTGTTCTTTTTCTTGGAAAGCAAAAGCACTAATTTGGTATTTCTTCATGTATTGTGAAATGCAACTCACATTTGTTCTGTTTTAGGTAAATTCTGTACTTAATGTTGTTTTAACTTGTACTAAAATCAGGTTGAAAATAATTTGAAAAAATGTTGTCCACATTACCTATATTTATTTTTTATATATAGCTGCTACTGTGCATGTCATGTCACTTACTATACAGTAGTGTTTGAGAAAGTTGCTGGACTGCTTAAGGATTTATAGCTCAGTCTCTAAGATCAGCTCCTGGCTTTTCTGGCCATTCCAATTTACAAGGAAACCATATTTTCTCAGAATAGGGCAAAAAATGCCAGTTTTTCTTTCACCTGAAATATATCCAATGCTCAGAGGTTTATGGAATAAACACATAAAGTTGACAGGTTTAGAGGTAACCTGCTTTAAATGCTCAAAGCTGAGGAGCTTAATCTTCTTTCCCCTCCCTCTCCCCCCAGCATTTTCTATACTTACCTTTGAATCAACATTCACTCCAGACTAATCACCCTGATAAATGGTATAACAAAAATGCTTTGAGGAATTTAGATTTTTTTTGAGGAGTTTTTAAGATTACTGCCAGTAATGGAGCCAGGCTTAGAAATACAACAGAAAACTAGGTACATTCCAGGATTTCCTGCATTACACTTCGAGCTCCAAAGTGCATGAATCCCAACTTTTTATTGCTTGTATAGCCTGCACAAGCAATACCCTGACAGAGAGTGTCAAAATAATCAGCTGTTTGGAGAAAAAAAAAAAAAAGAATCGGACCCCCGGCATTCATTGCCCAAACATTTAAAACAAAGAAATAATTTCTTTTACAAATGTATTTCTCTTGTATAAGAATAATTTTGTAAAGAAAATAGCTCTTTATACATTTTACAGAAATATGCTAACATTTATATTTTCTATTCATGGATAATGATTAAATGCAATTTAAGATTTCAGCTATGCTTTATAGTTACCACATATCAATAAAGCAACAATACATCACTGTAATATCCTTAGGCTACTGCACTTATCAAGTATTGCGTCAACACAGCAAAAACACTCCTAGGACCATGTTCATCTGCAGACATTCAAGTATCTTGAAACTCTTAGTTATGAAATACCTTTGCATTTTTCTAAAAGTAATACCGTAATTTAAGTGTCAAGGAATAGGAATCTAAACCTCAGCAAGGCAGCAGTACTTTCTCACTTAGATTACCCCACTGGCTAATACTGTAAGAACCAATTGGTACAGAAGCTTTTATACTTAAACCAGCTTACTGTTAACATGACCTTCAAAACGAGATAGCAGAAGCTACTCTAGTAAATGCTACACAGCATTAATAAACATATAAATGTTGTAAAAATATTTTAATTTTCTTTAAAAAAGACCATTCAAAGTAGAGAAAAATCCAAAATACTACACTATAAAAAAGTAAATCTGTGAAGGATGAGAAGAAATCGAGAAACATGTACATATTTATATATAAAATATAAGGGTATGCTAGAAAGTACATAAATTTAAAAAAATACTCAATTTCTTCAAAGACAGTGTTGAAGTCCATGTGGTATCCCATAGAGCTCAAGTATAAACCACATTCAAATACTTTTCTCTGCAAATGCTGTTTCAAGCACTTGTACTCATATGCAGATTTTCTTTGAAAATGAGTATGAAATATGGAAATGTCTCCTCACAGTACTCACAATATGTAGTCATGTTCTCTGGCTTTCCAACTATTTTATCCATTTAAATAAAATAGGTAGGCAAAGTGAATTTCAGTAGAAAATTGAAATTTAGATTACATGGGATCTATTAAGTATTCACACATAGCTATTTTAAAGAGTTTGTCAGCTGTGTGAGTACTGTTGATGTTTCTGTGCTTCAAGATTCAAATGTGTAGCTACATTTAGTCAAGCTTGGCTCTTCAAGTTAGCCAGTCCCATACAATTTTCAAACGAAATCAGTTGGAATTGATACATCTTCTCATGAATGTTGCAGCACAAAGGTTGATATGAAACAGTAATGAATCACATTATACTGGGTCACATTTCCACATAGCTAAAAGGAGAAAGAACCTCCTCGCAAACCCTTACTCCAGGGATTTTGCAAATTCTGCATAGTCAATGTATCCATCATTGTTCTTATCGTCATCTCTTAAAACATCATCTATTAGACTAATTAGTTCTTCTTCTTTCATTGCCTGGGTATGTTCGCCACCTTCCTAGAAAAGCAAAAACCACATTAAAGAATTTAGCAGGTCCCACTTTGTGACATACACGGCACATTACTGACAACTAGCTGCTTAGATTGCAAAACATCTTGTTACTTAAGTCTTGTTACAGCAAACTATTCAACATCAGTTCACAAACATGTTGACTTACTGAAAGAACAGACTAGTGGAAAACAAAAGAAAAAGCAGGTTAGGTACATTGCAGCTTAGCTTCAGCATAATTCTTAGTATCATCCCTTAGAAATAAAGGTGTCAGCAGTTAATTATTATTTCCTTGGCTTTGTATCTTCTGACACAGATTGGCACAATAAGTTACATCGTTTTGAACTTCCAAAAGATTGCTAGGAGATATTGTGTTAATATTATTTTCCCAAGAACTGTATCTTCCTGCTTAATCTTTAAATGCTCCCAGTTGTACAGAGTATTTGCATTTACAAAAGGGTAACAAACAAAAGCACACCATGATCTACTCTCCTAATTATATGCAAGAAGTTTCCTACAGTTTGCACTTCTGTAGCAGTAGCAGTTGTGAGTTGAAGATAACATTCTTAGAAATATAAGTTACACTGTATTGTATGCTATTTTCATAAGCTCTTATCACCATTATTCCATTCTGGCCACAGTTTTCCAATTTCCCCTTTTCCTCTCACAATCCCTGGCTACAAAATCATTTCCACTCCAGAGGATGTAAAGTTGAAACCAGGATTGAGTCATCTTGGAACAGTGTCAAGTGACATGAAAAGGTGTGATAGACCTCATCCACTTATAAATCAAACCAAAACTGAAAGAGGAAGAGGTCTCATTTTCAAACAAAACCACTCCCTTGTGACTGTACTGCAACACTGTAAATGTTCTATTGCAAGTTGTTTTTTAGAAAGCCTGGACTGTTTCCAAGGACGCATGCTATTACGATATTCCACCTACCTCTTTGTGGACATGGGATATAGCAGCAGCAAGTTCTAATCCATCTAGCAGATTATTGCCATCGTAATCATGCATTTTGAAATAATGAAGCTGCAGCTCTTGTGGAGACATCTCAGACTCCGGTTTCTCAATAACACCTTCCAAATGTTCCATGATGTGGCTTAGGAAAAAAAAATCAGTTAATATTTAATACACTGTTTACATCATCTGTAGTATTTGATCACGTAGTCAAATACATAGGCCCTGTTTCTAAAAGCACCCTGGACAAACACGAGGACCAAAAGCCCCAACCTTAACCAACCTTTGTACACCCTTCATCCTAGTACAGTACAGGTCCGTACTGTACTGGCCTTTGGAACAATTTAGACAGCTGTTCTTCCTCTCACCTACTTAGACTGGGTTTGGGTTATCAAAACAACCCAAATGATGCCCCAGATTCCTTTATGGCCACCTTTCAAAGCAAAGGAACTGCAGGAAAATCTTTCATAGCAAAATATGGGATATACTAGGGACTTTATTGCTATCACACTTTTTTTGTGTGCATGAAGAAGCAATTGAGAACAAATTTCTAACTGTCCAAATAAAAGTTTTGTCCAGAGCATGTTGATCTAGATAAGTAGAATTATTGTAAGAAACTCTATACAGTATAAATAGGGCTAAAGGTCCTAGAGAGAGCTTTCTGGATCCTGTATCTCTAGTAAACTTGATGAACAAACCTATCTTGGTATCTGACTCCAGCTATTCATACAACATCCTTAGATGAAAAGGTGCCTCAGGCTTAAGCCCAACTTGCATAACAACATTTAGGAGAAAAGCAAATCATTGGGAAGTAAAGTTTACATTTTCAGGACATGGAACACATACTCTTTATCTTGTACCAGGTTCTTATCAAGCCGAATATTTGCATGTTGACTCTCTCCCACAGACTCCCCAGCTAAGGCAGAGATGAAGCAAGCAGCCACAAGGGAGAACAGCAGCCACGTTCTACAATTCCACAGGGCCATCATGATCCCCTAGAAAAAGAGAACGGGATGAAAAATGCAGTCTCTAAGGGGCTTAGGATGCACAAAGTTACTTTTCCTCAACACTTCAACCCCTTAAAAAGCTGAGGTCTCCAATTAAGGCATTTTTATGAAGGATCTGACAGTAAGTAGTTTTCAAAGAACAGCTCGTTTCACACTGAGAATGTGCGGTGCCTTGCCCCCTCCAGGGCTCCAAATATTTTCTGGCAACTTCATGCCTTTTCCCCTCACACCTCTCCTACCAGCACGGGGGCAAAGGTGGCTCAGAGCGCCAGAGGAGCTGCTTCTGGTTGGAGAGTTTGTTAAGATCTCATGTATTAACAAACTTATTTACACAACTCGCAGTATTTCATGGTGCTCGTAGCTCGCGGTGCCTTGCCCCCTCCAGGGCTCCAAATATTTTCTGGCAACTTCATGCCTTTTCCCCTCACACCTCTCCTACCAGCACGGGGGCAAAGGTGGCTCAGAGCGCCAGAGGAGCTGCTTCTGGTTGGAGAGTTTGTTAAGATCTCATGTATTAACAAACTTATTTACACAACTCGCAGTATTTCATGGTGCTCGTAGCTCCTACTTCCCTTCACCAGGTCAGGCGCCTGCCGTATGGAGGCCAGCAGAAGAGCTCCTGATTTATTTTTTTTCTTTTTTGGTTCCTTGTCCCCCGCAGCCTCTGGGGAAGCACACTCCGGCGCCAGGGTCCCCTGTAATAACGGCTACGCAAGCAGAGCCGTTAACCCGCC